TACTGGTACCTTGAGGCTTATCCTCAGTGAATTGATAGAGGTTTCTATTAAGCATTTTTCAGCCTCATTTCGACAAATCAAAACCTGCCAGATAGTAAAGACGGATTCAATATTCAAAAGAGAATACCTCAATGTGATTTTTAAATGGTAAGCTAGGGAAAAAAACTCAAAATTATGTGTGTTTTTATAAGTTACACAACAGGTTTAAATATCTGTAACTCTGTAAGAGATGACGAGGCACAAATCAAAAGCACCAATGCTTATCCAATGGACAGCAATAAGAAAAACAATTTGAACTTAGATGAGCTCTTACAGGATTAAGTAGAAGTTCTTGGCTGGTCCTGAATATTAGACAACATTAAATAAATTAGAATGCGTCTAAGTGCATAGCTGAACACAGAATTGGACATCTCAGATATAGAGAGAGCGGGGGGGGGGGGGGTATAATTATGAGGATAAAATAAAAATAATAATCATCACAGATATTTTGCATGCCAAGATGATTGAGTATCTGAACATTTCCGAACATACGGATGAAATAAGGGAAGGGAACCTTATGTACTGATCAACTAGATTTCAAAGGGGCAAACAAGTTACTTACCACTCTAAATTTATCTTCAAAAAATAGCACTTACTCTTTCTTAGCTGATCTATTTTCATTGACGGGTAGGAAAAAACATATATAATGATGAAGTACTACAACCCTGAATGATAATACATAGTTAAACGATGCATGAAATAACAATTCATACTTCAGTTCAACCTCTGGTTTGTTATGTCTTTCAACTTCTTGACAAGGGAAGTTCTGCAATCAGCACAATGATAAGAAGAATATTTTAATCTCAGAGTGTGACATCATGCTTACACAGCCATTATGAAATACACATGTGAAAAAAATTGTCCAGCATTCTCTAAGTCAGGCAAATCTTAATGATGCCACATGAGAGAGGGGGGGGGGGGGTGGAGAGTGAATCTCTAACAAGTATTGCATTGTCAAATTGTTACGGAGAGTTATGAAATAAATGAAGTAATTGTGACAAACAAGCAAGCAAGATTTTAGAATCACTAAGAAAACCAAGGTCTAGTTGTAAGTATTGAGTATTGGCATGCCTATATGGCTATATATCATCACTCAACCAGTCAACCTATTTACAGTTCACATAAA